TCACTTTGATAAAACTTTCCTCCCAGCGTTGCCAAGACAGAGACAAGTAACTTTCCTTGTGGCCACAGATAACAACTGAAATGAAACAGAGTTTCTTGGTCAGACATGGGTCATAGCTCAGCTTTGATACACTTTTGCCCTGCGTTCCTGGGTAAGTCACTTAACTTGGCAAAACCGCACTTTCCTAATTTCTAAAACGGAATAACAATATCTGTTTTGCAAGTTTGTTCTGAGAATGAAAGATACTATATATCCGGTGCTTGGCAGCTTTATAAAGCAGGAATGTCCTTAGGCTTGTGTACTTTTCACAGTCCAGCCTTTCTTAATGGGGACGTACTGCCCCCTAGGGGGAATTTTGGAAATATATGGGGGTGGGGAAGCTGTTTCCCCGAGATTCAGAGGCAAGAGATTGACAGGTGGTTGGGGCCTGAGATGCTAGGATTCTGCGATCCGAGAGACAGTCCCGCACAATAAAGGATTACCCTGCGGCCCTACAATCTTGTACAGTCTTCCTATACACTCATGTGTGCGGAAAAATCCGTTTGTAATTATCTGTGGCTACAACCAAACTCTATTTTACATCGAAATGCTAAGCATTTTTGCAGTTTTAATGAACACTGATTTTTTTTTTTTTCAAGGAATGCAACTACATGTAAATCAAGGCTTGATTGCACTTTGTTTGGTTTGGAGGTTTACCAAGAATTGTTCACCATTTGGGAAAATCACGCCCTTCACTGGCCACGCTGCCCCTGGTCCCGGAGACCTAACAATCTGCATTTGCTGCCATCACGTTCAGGCGACTGCCCAGGCGCGGCTACTGGCTGCTTCTCTACTTTTGCCAAGGGTAGTAGTGTCGAGCATTTTCAGATTGAAATATGTACTTTCTTACTTACTGCTTTCCTTCTGTTTCCTCTTTATGCTACAGTTAGGGCATAATACAGTTTTGTTGCTGTTGTTGCTGTTGTTGTTAATGGGGTGAGCGGGGGGTTGTTTTCGAATAATTTCATGTCACGGTAGGAAGTGGGTACAATTAGGTTGCAGGGGGCTGGGAACCAGCTCCGCAGCCAGGAGAGGCTGCAGACACCGGAGGACGCGGTTCTGAGAGAAACGCATACAGACTAGGGGCCGGGGGTGACCAGCTGGGAACTGAGGGCCCGCGACCCTCCCGCCCAAGTGGCACCAGAGGGTGGAAGCCCCCAAGTTAGGAAAATTCCTTCTCCCCTAGGGCCGCCCCTGGAGGCGGCCGCGGGTGGGTGGCAAGACGCTTACCGGGACCCGCGCTCAGCGTGAGGAGCGTTGCCATAGAGACCGACGCGCCCGGGACGCTAGGCCTTTTCTGGGCCGCCCCCGCCGTCCCAGGCAGAGACTCCATCCCTTTCCCCCACCCTGCCCGGTTCCTGAAGCCCTGTGGCGGCTCCAGGCAAGGACTAAGGGCGGCCCCTGCAGCATACCTGCTCCGCCGGCTCCGCGGGGCCAACTAAGCGTCTCAGAAGGATCCGGGTTCCCGGGGCCGCTGCGCCTCCCCGCGGCCGGGCGGAGCCGCGCAAGGAAACGCGGGCGGGGCGCGAGGCTGGAATGGCCTGGGGACCCGTCCACACAGTCCACCGCGAGGCAGGGTCAGGCGCCAGGGAGTTTGGAGACCCGACAGAGCCAGCCCCACACCGTCCCGTTGCCTTGGGTCGGGATTGCTTTGCGTTGCACTCTACAGTAGCGCTCCCCGCTCTTGCTTACGGTGCACCAGACGCTTCGCAAACGTTCTCTCTTTTCTTTACAACCCCGCAAGGCAGTAGTCTCCTAGTTTTACAAATAAGCTAAACTAAGACAGGAAGAGTGTTTCTTGTACAAGATCTCAAATATTGCCAAGAGGTGGACGTGAGACTGGAACCGCTTCCTACTCTTTGGGCCACAGCGGCGGCCTGCCAAGGACTTTCTAACGCAACCGGCGCTGCCCAAGCGTCTGCACGCACGCCCCCTCCCTATCCCACCCTGCCCCATTCTGGATTTGCACATCAAGCAGCTAAAACGTTTAAGTAGTTGAAAAAAAAATATATTCCACAAAAAGTAAAAAGAGACACAAAAAAAAAATAAACAAAAGAAAATAAAAACAACACAGAGATACGACACCCCACAGCCCACAACACACACACAAAAAACCACAAAAAAAACCAATTTAAAAAACAAAAAGTTAAAACAACAACTTTCCCTCCTAAAAACAACCCCCCCCCAACCCCTCCCCGTCCCTGCCACAAAAAATTTCCTCTTCTTATAAGCACTATAGTCAAATTGGATTAGGACTGAACCAAAGGCCTCATTTTGATCTCATTGCATCTTTAAAGTCTCTATCTCCAAATACAGTCTCATTGTGAGTTACTGGTGTTAGATTTCAATATGTGAATTGGGAGTGGCCGGGGCAGGGGCGAATGCAGCCCATAACAGGAGTCCAAAAGTTGTTTAGGAGTTGGAACAGCCAATGTTAGTTTCTTTGGCAGTGAAATTCCCTCAAAATATTAGCAAGTATATGATCTACTTGTTTTTGTTTAATTTCATGTGTCAGTGACCACACCCACATTTCTTCCCTAGAATTCTTAGACATGCTTTATTAAATCATATCTTCATTCTACTTTCCTCATAGAATTTTATCCCAGCTATCTTTTTCATGCTTGAAAGTCTTATTGATCATCCTGTCATACTGCTGAAAGAAGTATAGAAATGGAAATTTACATTTCCTGCTCACAGAATTTTTTTTCTGGATTGTTAAAATTACTAGTACTACACAATTGATCACAATAAAATATATCACAATGCTGATAATTATATTAAATATAAAAAAATAAAATTGTATTGAAAATTCATCTCCTTAAGACCTGGATGGGCTCCCCATGCGTCATCAGTTCCTGTATCCATAGATGAATGCTAACTTCTTGCTACAATGAAGTTTAACACTGAGTCTCTTCCATTTTTTTTTTTAAGGCTGTAAGTGCTGAGAAATAAGTACATTAGAATGAAAAGTTTTGTTAAAAGTGTCCCTCAATTTTTGTCTAGTTGTATCTCAAGAATCATATAGTAATCTATCATCAAAAATGGTTTATAATCATGAACTGGTAATTCCATTACTCTTCTGAAATTTTATTAAAAGCAAAACCCCATAAGCCATTCTGATTTTAAAAAGGATTATCCAATACTTATCCAGTCTCTCAGTAACTGTACATAATTTCAAGTTTTTTTGTTTGATGGTTTGGAAATGTTTATACCCTGGGGCAATGCTAAGATTGAAGATGACTAAGAAGTATGGAATACAGTATATATGGAAGCTCAGTATCTGGAAATATCCTTAGAATGATCCATGCCTGCTTTAACTTGAAAAATGTTCAAGAGGGTGGTAAGCTAATTTCAAAGAGCTAACCTAAATAATTTTGGGAAATGGTATTTGACTGGAAACCATGAGACAATAGGAAAGATACATAAACTCTGTACCTTAGTTGGTAAATTTGTATCTCCCAGGGGTATGGGTTAATGATTTGGAAACTGCTTTACAAGTAGACTAGGATCGAACAGCTAAGTAGGTGGTGGATGGTGCAAGCCAGTTTTCTCATTGTCAGGGAGAGAAGTTATAGAAAAGCATGAGAAGAAGGCTAGAATGAACCTTGTAGTATTGGGTTAGTTGGAGACATCAGTATGGACCCATGCTTAATTTAATGTATGTACAGATGGAGAGATACAGAAATAACTGTAGAGATGTGTGGATGGTTATACAATTATACAGTGTACACAGGTTAGTATACACACATATACTTCCTAGCTCTGCTGAGAGGGCCTAAAAGCAGTGACACCCCAGGAACAACAAGCACACCCAGCAACCAGATCTTGGTTTCTAAACCAGTGGGAACCTCGTTGAAATGGATGATTTTGGGGCTAGGGCAGAGAAGGTAAAGATGAGTCTGGACCATCTTGTAGTGCCACAAAGGAAGGAAGTGCTCCAAAAGAATAGGGGCACATCAAAGGGACACAGGAGGTGACCTGAAACAATTCCCAACAGCCAAAGCTAGAACGATTTAAGCAAGAAAACAAATAACTTATTATTAGCTGGAGTGTATGACTTGCTTATAGTGAACATAGCATGAACATGGAACATTACAAAGTTGATAGTGGAGAGCCTGGCAGACACTGCCTTCATCAAGTGATCAAGGTGAACGACACTGGGAAGAAGTCATGCTGATGCTGTGTACTCCCTGAAATGATGTGATGAGAAGGGCACTTCACCTTTGTGGTTTTCCCCAAAATCCGTAAGCTTAGTTCAATTGTGAGACAAACCCAAATTGAGCAGTAGTCTACAAAATACCTGAGAAGTACTCAAAAACATCAAGGTCCCGAAAAACAAGGAAAGATTTAGAGACTGCCAGAGACCACCGGAGATTAAAGATATCCAAATGTAAATACAGTGTATATGTGAGGTGGGGTTCTATATCACAGGGTTTTATACATTAAGATTTAAAAACTGTTAAATATTTAAAAGATGTATATTTTCCAGATTTCAGCAAGTGCTTGTTAATGACCCTAAATGTATTTTCCCCCTTCTCTTCACTTTAGCACTGTTCCCTGTATCTGTCTGGCTCATGTCTCTGTGACAGTGTTGAGCGAAGCCTGTTTCTTCAGTGAAATATTTTCATCTAAGTGCACACTATTAGATGAGGTTAACACACACGACAGGACCCAGCACATGTGTGCCATGCGTCCCCCTATTTAGTCCACATCACTCTCTAGTTTCTGATATTTACCATTTCTGCTCCTCACCTCTGGCCTCTTCCTTCCTCATCTACAGGACTGCTATCTTCTGACAAGATCTGCAGACCACCCCATGCTTCCCAGGGCTGACCCTCCAACCCAGGCTCTTTTGTGCATCCTATGAGGGACTGTATTTAAGGACAGATGGTGAAGACCATTGGAATGATCGTCAAACTACTCAGAATCAGGTCATATTGAAAAACTGCACACATTACCATATCAAAATTAAATATATTTAATTCTCAAGCCTTTAGGAAGTGTAAAAAGAGTCACATAATAATAAACACAAATCATAATGTGAATAACATATGGGCTGCTGTAATGGTCTATAGTCAGCATCCCTCTGAGGTAGGCATTATTATCTTCATTTTATGGTTAAGGAAATTGGGGCTCGAAGAGATTAAGTAATTTCCCACAATCACACAAGTAGGTAGTGGCAGGCTATCATCCCATTTCTGTTCTATGGGACTGCAAAGCCCAATGCTCACACACTTCCAATGTAGTGGAAGGTGTAATTCCACTACACCTTCTCTCTCGAATTCAAAAACTTACAGGAGTTCTAGACTTTTCAAACTCATGATACTAATCAAGAACGATTTTAAGTATTAAGAGTTTTCTCCGCTTCATTCTGTTTCCAAAGGAAAATATACATCGCATGAACTCATGATCATCTCAACATGAACTCCTGAGTGAAGCCTCTCCTCAGTGTGACTCAGGAACACTCCCTCAGGCATTATCCGTCGCACAGGCCTTGCCATCCAGCTCGCTTCTTCAGCTCTGACACCCAGTCAGGGTTGTCATCTTCCTCCTCAAAGTCCCTGTGAAAAAACAATTTGGACCATAAACCTCTACATTAGGGGCACAGTATCTGTTGGTGAGTTCAAAGCAAAACACCACCATAACAATACTTAAGCTTTTGTTGAGTATTAACAAAAAATTAATACTTAACAAAAGTATTGTTTTTGTTATTGAAGGGAAAAAATTGTCAGTTCTTCCAAAAGATCACTTCTTTGACTGTTTCTAACACTTTTAAAAATGTAAAACCTAATATATTAAAAAATAACAAGTTCAAGCTGAAAGGCTATAGGTGTAGGGCTCAATCAGGAATTTTATAATCATATTGTAAGGTATTACCCATCCCAGACAAAAGATCAGGATATAAATACCCATTTATGATGGCCAGGCATGGTTGCTCACACCTGTAATCCCAGCACTTTGGGAGGCCGAGGTCGGGGGAGATTGAGACTCTAACACGGTGAAACCCTGTCTCTAATAAAAATACAAATAATTAGCCGGGCGTGGTGGCAGGCGCCTGTAGTCCCGGCTACTCGGGAGGTTGAGGCAGGAGAATGGCGTGAACCCAGGAGGTGGAGCTTGCAGTGAGCTGAGATCCCACCACTGCACTCCGGCCTGGGAGACAGAGCGAGACTCTGTCTAAAAAAAAAAAATTTCCATTTATGATGAAAAATAATCTAAGAGGTCCCTACCAAACCTGAAATTATCATGGTCTAATTTAAATCACACACAAACACACACAAACACACATACACTCCACCCCCAGCTAAAGCTTTCTACGCATATCACAACGTACGTGTCCTCCTCATCTAGCCCAGGCTCAAGTCGCTCTGGATCCAAAATGACAGAATCGTGACCTCCGTCGACACTGTCCGATGCTTCTGTTTCTTCAGACAGGGGGCCTTTCAAGAACCCTTCTGTACCTTCAGGAGATATTAACAGAAAATATACCAATTTAAACAGTATTTACTTATTTCATGCAGTTTGACTAAAATCTTCCATAAGCTTGCTGGCTGAGGACAATGTCATGTTCCATTACTCTTGTGTAGTGTCTCCCCACATTACCCAACCCCAACATGATTGTGGGCATAAAACAGGCCCCAGAAGCAGAAGCACTAGGACGTGGACTAAATTTATAAATGGAGCTTTCTTTATTCTTTTTTTTGAGTCAGGGTCTCACTCTATCACCCAGGCTACAGTGCAGTGGCATGATCATGGCTCAATGCAGCCTCGAACTCCCAGGCTCAAGAGCTCCTCCTACCTCAGACTCCCAAGTTGCTGGGACTAGAGGCATCCAGAACCATGCCTGGCTAATTTTTTTAGTAGAGGCAAGGTCTCGCTATGTTGCCCAGGCTTGTCTTGAACTCCTGAGCTCAAGCACTCCTCCTGCTTCAGCCTCCCAGAGTGCTGGGTTACAAGCATGAGCCACCACACCCAGCCTATAAACAGGATTTTCTTTAAGAGAAAAAAAAACTCGGAAAATTACCATAAAACCCTCCCAATATAAGAATGTATATTAAGGCATTAAAAGTTACCTTTGAAAGTTGGGTTATAGTAATTTCTTTTTTCCTTTGAACTTTCTCCTCCCAAGTTTTCACAATGAGGAGGAAGAAAAGTTGGAAACTGAAGGAAGACTATATGCATGCTTAAAAATTTTTTCCAGGTGTAATTACTTTTAGATTTCTCACAAACAGCATGAAAATCTACCCTAAAAACATGGGCCGAATCTTCTAAAAGGCATTTCAAAATAGAACTATGACATAGTTTTTAAACAGGGACTTTCCTAAAATGACAAAGACTTCATCACTGGACCAGACAGAAAATCCTGGACCTAAAATTGCAAAATTGAAATTCATAACCATTAACCTTCCTTAACATTTTCCTCCCATGCATTAGCATCTCCTTAGGGCTTCCATGACCTTTTGTGCACAGTTCTATCTGAATGCATATATCACAGGGCACTATAATTCCTTATCAGTGTGCTGACCTCCCATGTAATGAACTCCTTCATCCTTAGGGCAGGAACTGTGTTTTATTCTTTTTTTCATCTTAACCTATGTTAGGCATTCAATAAATACTGACCAAATAAACAAATACAACTAAATCGTTGCAATAAATATAGTCAGACTTGCCATACCATTACCTGCTCTACTTGGTATAATGTATCTTAGATCTTAACCTAGCAAGGTGGCTTAGTAATTAAATTATCATAATTATAATACACATACACACATACATATCTAATACAGACCACTGGCCTAGATTTCTAAGGATGGTATTATAAAAAATTATTTTACACAATGTTAGTAAAGATGTCTGTAAAAATCAAATCCTAATTGTTCATCCTTCGTTTGAGCATCATAATCTCAAATGTGACACAGAAGGTCTCAGGTATACAGCAAAAGCAAATCTCGGAGTTGTTGCTAAAGCAATGGGCATATTTGCATGCTAAAAATGGGACTCCTCTTCAAAGAAAGTAGTAGCAGGTATCGAAAATAA